AAAAAAAAAAAAAAAAAAAAAAAAAAAAAAAAAAAAAAAAAAAAAAAAAAAAAATAATGTTCCTCATAAATAAACATTTTATTGAAGAAAATTTGGCAACTCTCAAATGTTCATACGGCGTTCTTCCTTAGCACGGCAGCATAGGTGTCTGTGCATAGAGTTTGGGTATAGATGTGGTTCCATCTCGTAATTTAGGCGATCTCCTCCGTCGCGGCCTCAAATTTGAAAGCTTTTCTTTAAGTTTGGGCGAAGGTTTCGAAAGAAATCAGTGGTCCCTTCTTGTTTCCCGCAAAATTTTAAATGGGATAGTAAAATAATTAAATCGTGAATTTCCCCTGCATTCTAGAGCTCTGTTCAGCCGAATTTATCTAATTTTTGTATTCTTTATGATGGGCCACTCAATGCCAAACCAGCCAGAGATTATGCTCTACCGACTTAGAAATTTTTGAACATGTGAATAGGTATTTCATTCATTCAGGTTTAAAGAAACCATCAATATTTCATTTTAATCTTTCCAAAAAAAAAAACAAAAAAAACATAAGCGTCGCAGCGTTGCCTTATGACTCCGATGAACGGGGAAAAATGCAGAGACAAGAAAAATGCCGTTAAGCTGCCGTTAAGCTTGTCAGGCAACCTGGCGAGCAGCTCGGCATGCCGCACAATGGATCGAGTCCATAGGAGAGGTCGGACAAAATTTGGAAACTTTAAAGGCTTATAACTCAGTTTATACACAATTTTGAGTTTCTAGAAGTGGGTCTATTGGTTTCCTCGTAAACTTTTCTTCCGGAACTATCTCTTAAAATTAAAATTGTGACTATATAAACATCAAAATTTGCAGTTATAGTTAATCATTTCATGTCCTCCGATTTGATGTTACTGACCTCTCTAATTAACTCGATCCACTGTGCGCCTTACGTGAACGCGTCTTTAGCGGTAATTACTGATACCATTTTACACACTGATAAAAGCATGACATCATACTGATAGCGATCGCACCAGGGTTGATGGGCTTGGTTACCCTTACCCCGATAAGGAACTATGGGCTGTATATAGAACTAACCCCAAGTGAGGAGTGAGGAAGGAGGTATTTCGGACAAACTAAAATAAAATGTTCTAATGTTGTGTGCGATTTTTTTTTTTTTCATATTTTTTAAACTTAAAGTAATGTATTCAGTAAACAAGAAGTTTTTCATTTTAATTCTATCCTGAGTGTATTTTGTCAAGAAATTTGATCAGACTAGGCGTGTGAGGTACCTATGCAGGTACGCATTTCAGGAGAAAGTAAGCAGACATATGTACGATATTCTATTCTTCAGAATATTTATTGATCTGACAGTAATAAAAGGATTTTTACACCAAGCTCTGAAGAACTTCAAATAGATAATAAATAATGATAATAAATAAATAAATAAGATAAATTATAAAAAATTATGAAAAATATTTACATTCTCTTTTTATTCACAGGAGGAGCGAACGATGAAACTAAGCATGTGTTCTAGATGAAACTGGTCGAGTTTTTTTTTTTTTTTTTTTTTCTACACAAAAAATTTGCAATTTGCGTAGGTAATAAAAATAAAGAAGTGATTTTTTAAATGAGAAGCTACTAGCACTCAATATTGCTAAGGGTTACAATAAATTAACCGAAAACAGATCTTTAAGTTTTCTTTGGGAAACAACAGAAGTCGCAAACTCTTAGCAGCTAGTAGTTCCTTTTTGCAGGATGCACACATTTTTCATAGTGACCTAATTTTTTCGCTCGATTTGATTATCGTGTTATTTCGTTTTTAGTGTTCTCATATGTATGCCGCGATGATGCTGTTTTCCATGAAGGCTATGGTGAGGTGCGGTAGGTGGTCGTCTAGTAGTAGCGTCTGTAGGTGCTAACGGTGACAGGGAATGAGTACATTTCGACAGGCGTGTAGGATGGGACTCGAATGATTCTAGTAGTGCGGGTCACGGTTGGAGACCGGCGTCCGTACACTGTGTAGGGCAACGGCACCTGGCTAGGTCGCGGCACGAAGGGCACCTTCTCCCATGGAACCTCGTATCTCCTCTGTAACCAGGTAAAAAAAGTACGCCATCTTAGTTAAAAAATAATAAATAAAGCTCATACCTACGAGTGCTTAAAGCGCCCCCATCAGTTACCGTTGCCCTATATCAAAGCGTGAAGCTTAAGCACTATGAATCGGTCAGTTACAAAAGGGCTCAAGCGCCAGATATAAAAATACGAAAGAAACAGTAGAAACTGTATGAACCAACCCGTTTTAAACTTCAGATTGAGTAATAATGTGATTAATCAATTCATCGCTTTAATATTTTACAGCTCTGATATTTATTAGGGGTTAAAACGGTTATTACCATTTTTCTCTAATTCTCATTTTTGGCGCTTGAGCCCTTTTGTAACTGACCGATTCAATTGCACTATTTTTAAAAGCCTGTTAATTACGTCCTTTCCTAAGTAGCATTTTTCAACGGGAAAATTGCGATATTGCGAAATTAAGTTGTGATTTTTTGGCGATAAAATCGTTGGGATCATCAGCATTTAAGCGATTACTGAAATCGAAATTTCATCTCTATTTTTGACGATTTTTTGTTTGATAACATTCCGACGAATCGCCGTCGATAAAATCGCGATTTTGTTGCAAATTTATGTGACGAAATCGCAATTGTTTATCCGATAATATTGCAATAAATCACGTCGCCAAAATCGCGATAAATCGCCATCACTGCTCCTTAAGTTCATGGTCACCATGCTCAGTCGAAGACGTTACCAACTGAGTAATGATAGAGTGTTGTCGATTTTTCCAACGGCGTAAAACTTCTGTCTTAAACTAGAGTTCTCATTATTGGGGNGGGGGGGGGGGTGTCATTCGATTCGAGTACGACATTCTCCCATAGAGTAATTGAGTAGATGAGTAATGAGTAATGAATGGAATAATGAGTACGAACGTGATTCGGCATGAGTATGAAACAAACGAGGAGCTCCAATATGTGGGACTTGGGGCACAGAACCACTCAATAGTTGCAGTGGAGTCTTCAAGTAAAATTCAGGCATGTAGAAAGTTGCCTCCAATTTTTCAACTTGGCCTTCCATCGTTATAACCTTTTTCCCCTCTAAAGTCATGACCTTTTGGGTGCCCTCTATGCACCTAAAAACTGTCGCGATTCTACGAAAAATGGACTCGATTTGCACGATTTTACAAAAGACACTGTATTCCACCTCGATTTTACGAAAAATACGCAATTCGTACGCTAATGTGGAGCGAGTATTTAGAGATCCATTAACACCGGTCTCCTATTCCAGGTTTTCGGCCGAGTCAGTCGACGCATTTTGTAATGACGGAAATTTATACACTTTGTGGGTGCCAGGGTTTTTTTCTCACCTAACAATAAACATAAAATCATCCTTCAATATGCTCTGCTGCAACCCCGCATAACAATACATGACAAAACTATATTAACGTTAGTGACGTTACCTCGTGTTAAAAATGAAGGAGACCTGTATAATTTAATCATGATTTTACTTGACTCGTAAAAATCATTAAAAATACACTCATATCGCGATTAGTGCGCGGACTACCAAAAACCGTTTCCTTTTCTTGCCGACACTCCCAAGATAAGTGACAGTTTTTTTTTCTTAATTCTGTTCTAATGGGAACTCTACCTCTGTTCTTAATTTTAGCCTATGGCTGTATGGGTATACTGCAACCATAGGCAGTTCTACGCGAGTCCACGTGAACCCACAAACATAGAAAACCCCGATAAAAATCGTGAAATTTGTCTCCCAAATAGTACGATATTCAAGGTTAAAACATGTCAAAGTAGCGTCCATGAGAGATTCAGCTTTCAAAATTTTCCGGAGAAGGTCCTTCGGACCCCCCTCTTACTGGGAGGTGTCTCCCCAGGCCCCCCACACACGCGCCAACAAAATGGCTCCAAGTCTTGTGCCACTCGCAAGCACAGAGGTTCAGAACCGGGTATGACTGCAACAAGACGTGCATAAACTTTTTTCCGGTTCAAAATGTTGTTACTTACTCTTCTTCATCTAAAGACCAATCTTTGTATTTATCCAGGACGGATTTCCTGGGGGGAGGGGGAGCTTCGTCCGATTCCTCAGACCACTCTCGATAACTGTCACGTCGATTCTCGAACCGGTCGCGGTATTTCTCCAGGACGGATATTTTAGGAGGGGGGAGATCTTGCACCGAATCGTCGGACTTTCCTCGATATCCTTCCATTTGACTACTGTTTCACAGCTTAGACTCCTAATAGATTATATATATATGCACTTAGGGGATCCGCACCAAACTAGCAGACCACTCGCGCACTAAAATTGCTACAACCAAGTCGGAAACGGCTTTTACTTCTTCTCGATTTTGGAAAACGAGATTTCTGTATGATCCACGCGAGGGATGCTAAGATGAAGACGGCGATGAGTTCAGGAACACGTTAGAGGAGCAAAAAGACGTCGGTCACCGGGGACCGTGGATTTCACTTCCGGGGGGATTAGGGGAGGATTATTTCAACTACGTGACAGATTGACTCGCGGAGACTGATGCGTCAACGCAATCACGTTTCTATTCGCGGTGCCCCTGCCTTGGCTCTGCGATGATGAACGTCGAAGGCAATTGGGGCATGCATGTGAATCGCTGCATACCGCCCTAGTAAAGCGCACTCCAATGTTTTGCTCTTTCTGAAGTCGGTCGGATACACGTAGAACATTTTTGGATTTCCGTAACGGATAAATGGACAGCGTTTTGCCGTAAGGAACTACTGTTATCCGTTCTTTTCAGGAACAGCATGTGTGCCACGAGATTCTCTATGCAGATAGGTGCTTTTATGGATGAACCCGAAATAGTACTTCCGAATTGCGAGATGTAGCCCAAGTATACCTCGTGGAGTCAAGGCCCTTTGCTCTTGCCGAGAACTCAGAAGCATTCGCGGATCTAGCGAATTGGCAACATTGTTTTTCCCCATTTAAACCCATGGAAATGTATCGATTCTTGGAGGGGCCAGGTGCTCCGACAAGAATCGATTATTCAACATTGGTTTAAATGGAGGAAATCCAATGTTGCCAAATTGCTGGATCCGCCTCCACTCAGAAGCCGCGAGCCGCTTGCAAATCGCGAAAGTGCGACACCACGTATGTCCATTGCGGTGTTACAAAACCTCCGCTCCTAGTTTATTTTTTCGAAGAGGAAAAAGTTAACTTTATAGCTTGAAAATACAGAAGATTCTACTAACAGAGCAGAAAAATGAGCGTTCAAGAAATTGCGTTGACCAGCTCGCTAAGGAAAAGATAGTGTATAGGTACAACGTCGCAAACGGCGATACGTGGTCTCCCTTTTTAGCCGTGGATATAATAAATGGACGTATTTTTTCCAAACGGAACTATGTGCATTTAGACATGAGCCCTGAGACCCATAAGAATACATGTATGACAGGGCTCACGTCATAATGCACATAGTTCCGATTGACAGAAATACGTCCAAATACGTAACGCAAGAGTTACTTCCTGGCTCCGATTCCGGCAATGTTTTTGGAATCATTCCCGTTAAAGTGACTGTTTCTTTTTTTTTATTCGAAACTCATTCAACCCATAAGTTCTAATCGGTCAAACAAGATATAAATAATGCGGTTTGTTTGAGTAGATAGAGAATCTTAAGTCCCGTCATATCCCGGTTAAATTGTATCCGTCGTTGCCAAATTTAACCAAAAATTCTCACTTGTCGACGTTGGAGGGGTAAAAATATTCTCATCACGGAAAAAAACACGGTTCCTAAACAAACGTTTCCTCAGTTTTATACAAATCCTGGAAAAAATTAAAAAATTTCAAATTTTGTGAAATTCACTCGTCCTCCTTGAGATATCACTCTCCATCTCTGTTCTTGAGAGTGGGAAGAAGTAAATAATGCTCTTTGGAACACCCCAACCGGCAACACTGCGGAGCGAGCGACGTAATAACTACGATCAAATTGGGCTAGAAAATTTTCTACTTTTATTTTCCTAGTTTTCAAGGGCCCGCTCGGGGGATTTTCCTTTTTTTTGGGAAGCCATGGCATCGATGGGCCCCCTCGCGGCGGCGTCGGCGGTCGTATTTATAGACGCCGAGTCTCATCTTTCCGGGCCTGTCACGAACAGTTCGCACTTTTTGGACTCAGGTTTAGCTGGTGATTGCTTCCGTCAATGTTTCCACCGGGGATGACGGACACTTAGAGTGAAACTGTTAGAGAGATGGAATGTGAAATTTCATGTTTTGGAATTTTAAACATTTTAAAGGTCACACCGACTCAAAATTTGAAATTTGTTAATATTTTTCACGAATATATAGACCGTATTCGATAACGGTTCGATGTACCGTTTGGTTCAAAACAATAGAACATAACCTCAAACCAAACTCTAAGGATTTTAATTGGAAAAGCTGAAAATGAGAAATTTCCTGACAATTTCACTTTGCATTGGCATTTGGTACTCAAATGTATAAAAAATCTGTTTCAAAAGATCCGTTCTCTCAGATTTCTGAATTTACTTTTGAGGCTATGTTTATGTTTTGAACCAATCGATATCGATACAATCTCACCCGTTTGATGTATCGAATACGATCTATTAAACCAGTGTGAGTGTGTGTCGCACCAGGTGGTTTTAAAATGTCAAAGGGTAGATCCGTAGAAACATTTTGTCTAACAACAAAACTGTACAGGAAAAATTTGGAAGAAATTTGGAAGAGCTTCGTAAAACTAGAAAAATTACTATCGAATGACACATTTCCTGTGTTGTTTTGCTGACTTCAAGCGCGTTGTGGACGATATTTGGACCGCGTTCAGCAGAAAACAAACAAGCCACACCAGCTATTGCCAATTTTAACTGGGTAATTTAATTTTTACAAGAAAATGTCGGTGCGAATTTCTTTGAAAATTGTGAGGAATTTGCTTCGTACTATGTACAAAACTCATTGAAACCTGCACAAGAATCCGCATAACTGTTTTTATGTAAAAAATCAAATTGCCCAATTAAATTTGGCAATCGCTGATGTGGCTTGGTTCCTCTCTGCTTATTAACGCGGTCCATTTCTGCTGATGCGGCAGTATGTGTCAAGTACACTGATGAGGTTCCATGTACGAAGGGTTGCGGGGAGGGGTCGCGCAAGGCTGAGAATAGAGAGAAATTAGGCCCCAATTACATAAACCACAAACCGGACGCTAACATCCGCACTTTCTGACTTTGGTGTAAATATGTATTTGTTCCGTTTTGAGGTAGTTATTATAGCTAAAAAGTCGCAGAGCAGGGCACGGAAACATTTTGGTTTGAAAAATAACTGACGGAAAAAACGGCGTGAGACGCGAGGGGGTGACAAAATCAAATCGAGGTATTGTTGTTATTAGGCGTCTCTTAGCCCCAGATGTACCAATAAAAATTTCAATATCAATTCTGATAACTTTCAAAGTTTATAGGGTGCGCTAACATCGTATGAACTTATGTACAGATTAGTACATGAATAGTCCAGGTCATAAAATCTTTTTAAATTCCTGAATTCACTTTAATTAAAAAAAAGTAAGAGTAAGTGAAAGCAAGACAATTCTTAGGAGATAGCATGGGGTCGTGGGATTGGGGGGGGGGGTTCTTTTTAAATGTTATGAATTTCAGGAACAGGATATCTGGCGGATATTTTGCGGTTTTCTAAATATCCTCAATTTTCTACGTAGAATAACTTTAGGTATATCCGAGGTACATTCTTGGGTATAGTAGGAATATTCTGAACTTATTCTCACTTAATACTCCTTTTTACGATGAATATATCCCTAGGTATAATGCCTCTGACTTCCCTTTGTTGTCCGATCCAGAGACAGAAATAAGCAATATAGTGCTCATCTTCTTTATCATATGAGACTATCCTGCGTATTTCTCGAGTAACATCTCGCTTTTTCACACTCGGAAAGCAAGCGAGCAACTATTCGAACTCCGGAGTGAGCATATAGTATCACGCGAAATTGAAGGAGAATCTTAACTTTTCGCTTATTTTCGTATGTATGTTAGTCACAAATTGCGGCAATATGAGGGAAACGATTAGAGCATCAGTTACCATGAGTAACTTAAAATTATGGATAAAAAATGAAAGAAAAGAAAAAGAAAAAAATCTCAGTCGCCGGAAAAATATGCCATAACAAAATAAACTCATAACAACAACTCCCTCCATGCTTCCAAAATAACTTCTATTTGTGGTGCGTGACCAACCCAATACCTTTATTCGAAGTCTCTTAGTGTGTCATCCTAAGACAAACAGGAAACAAAATATCATCGCTGGCACATCGCACCCTGTGATAAATCGTCGCTCCTCTGACGTAAAGGCGTATTTCTATTTCCATATGGGCCCCGGAAAGCAAAGAGTTATATGGGTATTAGGGCTCATGTGTAAATTGAAATACGCTCTGACGTCAGATGGGGGACGATATGGCCCCCTTTCGCCGTTACGTAATCAGCGTGAATAACCCTTCGTCTATAGCTCTGCCGTAATAGCGAAGAGAGCAGTAAGTGTCAAAGTGTTTTTTTCGAGTTTCCTTCAAAATTCGTTTAATCACTTTTAAATGAAATCACTGAAATAGCTAAAACAGCCAAATTCATCTCAATTGTATAAAAACGAGACGTATGAGAATGCCGCAAGTGCGCAAAAATGACGTGGTTTCAGGCAAGACAGCAGTAAGTGACAATATTCCTCCAGAGAGCCAATGAAAACAGTGCTTCCAAGTAAAGTGCCGCCAACTCTGCCAAATTCTAACTTGAAAATGTGTTTGTTGTGTGTCCAAAACACAACCACAAAAGCATGCAGAAGATAGCACTTATGGCGGTCTTGCCTAACAGTATGCCTAGCATGAAAATGAAAAATACCCTTTTTATGTAATTGAAATAAAATCTGTCGATTTTTAAGCATCCAAACGATTTCTAGGAGTCTCTCGGACGATTTGTGGCAATTTGACAAAGAACGGAGGCTTCTTTCAATAAAATTTCCGCCCTTACGCTTCTGAGTCTGTCTTCTCAAAACTTCATTTTTGCAGTGACTGCTCTCTTCGCTATCACGGCAGTCCTGTGTAAATCGAAGTACGCCCTGACGTTAGAGGTGCGATGATATGGCGCCAGAGGCGGATCCAGCAATTTGGCAACTTTGGGTTCCCTCCGCTTAAACCTATTTTAAATAATCGATTCTTTTCAGAGCACCTGGCCCCTCCAAGAATCGATACACTTCCATAGGTTTAAATGGAAGTATTTCTGCCAAACGGAACTATGTGCATTATGCCGTGAGCCTGAGCCCTGTTATGCATATATTTTAAAGGGTCTCAGGGCTCATGCCAGGGCTCATGCCCATAGTTCCGTTTGGTAGAAACACGTCCAAATGGCGAAGAACAATGTTGCCAATTTGCTGGATCCGCCAATGTTTGGCGCCCCTTTCTCCGTTACGTAATCAGCTTGAATAACCCCGCGTCCATAGCTGCGTCGCGCTCACGGTTGGCGACAAAATTCTGAAGAGAAAACGGAAGAAATTTCAGTGAAAGCCGAAAGTGTGTCACGCGTTGTTATGAAGA